TTAATAAATGGTGTTGGGAAAACTAGCTAGCCATGTGCAGAAACCAGAAACTGGACCCCTTCCCACACCTTACACTAAAACTCCAGATGGATTAAAGACTTAAACATAAGACCTAACACCATAAAAACCTTAAAAGAAAACCTAGGTAAAACCATTCAGGACATAGGCATAGGCAAGGACTTCATGACTAAAACACCAAAAGCATTGGCAACAAAAGCCAAAATAGACAAATGGGATCTAATTAAACTCCAGAGCTTCTGCAAAGCAAAAGAAACAATCATTAGATTGAATTGGCAACCAACAGAATGGGAAAAATTTTTTGCAAGCTACCCATCTGACAAAGCTTAATATCCAGAATCTACAAGGAACTAAAACAGTTCGCAAGAAAAAAACAAACAAACCCATTCAAAAGTGGGCAAAGGACATGAACAGACACTTTTCAAAAGAAGACATTTATTAATGCCTTAGCCTTCTAGACTGTGAGCTCCTGGGCAGGGACCAGGTTGTATTGATTTTGTTTTCCAAGTGTCCTGCCTAGGGCCTGGCACATAGTGGGTGCTCAATAAATGTTTCTCGAGTGCCCTCTGGAAAAAAAAAAAGGACATTTAGGAGGCCAGCAAACATGAAAAAATTCACATCATCACTGGTCATTAGAGAAATGCAAATCAAAACCACATTGAGATACCATCTCACTCCAGTTAGAATGGCAATCATTAAAAAATCTGAAGACAACAGATGCTGGAGAGGATGTGGAGAAATAGGAACACTTTTACACTGTTGGTGGGAGTGTAAATTAGTTCAACCATTGTGGAAGACAGTGTGGCGATTCCTCAAGGACCTAGAAATAGAAATTCCATTTGACCTAGCAATCCTATTACTGAGTATATATCCAAAGGATTATAAATTGTTCTATTATAAAACACATGCACACATATGTTCATTGTGGCACTGTTGGCAAAGACCTAGAACCAACCCAAATGCCCATCAATGATAGACTGGACAAGGAAAATGCACATATACACCATGGAATACTATGCAGCCATAAAAAACTATGAGTTGATGTCCTTAGTAGGGACATGGATGAATCTGGAAACCATCATTCTCAGCAAACTAGCACAAGAACAGAAAATCGAACACCACATATTCTCACTCATAGGCGGGTGTTGAACAATGAGAACACATGGACACAGGAAGGGAAGTATCACATACTGGGATCTGTTGTGGGGGACTAAGGGAGGGACAGTGGGGGTTAGGGAGGTTGGGGAGGGATAACATGGGGAGAAATGCCAGATATAGGTGATCGGGGGATGGAGGCAGCAAACTACATCGCCATGCATGTACCTATGCAACAATCCTGCATGTCTGCACATGTACCCCAGAACCTAAAGTGCAATAAAATATGTATATATTTATATATATATAAAATAAAATGAATAATTATGTTAGATCTATATGCTATAAAGTACAAAATATTCCTGAGGGTCACAAAAAACATGAACTAATGGAAAGATAACTTATATCATAATTTTACATGTTCTTGCCAAGTTACTTATAAATTTAATTCAATTCCATTAAAGTATTCACAAGACTTGTTTTTGGTATATAGACAAGCTTATGCTAAGTTCATATAGAATATCAAACAAGCAAGAAGTCAAGAAATTTTAGAAAAAGAAAATCAATAATGGAATACTCTTCCTGCCTTATAGTAAAATACCTAAAGCAAAAAATATATAAATACATAAAATTAAATATTTAAAACAGTATGATACTGATACATAACAGACAACTAAATGGAATATAATAGATGGTGTGGAATTAAGTCCATGTTCAGGAATTTTATATATGATAAATATGCCATCTCACATAAGAAGAAAAGAGAAGTTATTTACTAATTTTTTAGATAAGCCAGGAAAACATCTAAAAAGTAAGACAGAATCTATAGCTCACATTTTATACTAGGATAATTTCTTGATGTAAATACCTAAATTAAAAATATTGAGAACAATCAAACAAAAAGACTAGAAGAAACTATATGAAAATTCTTCTACAAACTTAGAAGAAGCTCTTTCTAACTACTATGTAAAACCCAGAAGCCATACTATAAACTATGTTTCTCACTACTATATAAAGGTAGACATTTTATATAAGAAAAGTCACTGTAAATAAAGTCAAGCACAAACAAGAAATTGGTAAAAAAAAAATACTTGTAATTTGTGGCATTACAAAAAAATGGCTAAATTTCCTTTTTACTAAAGAATTCCTACATATGATTAAGAAAAACTCAACAAACCAATAGAAAACTGGACAAAGGACAGAATCAACTGGTCACAGAAAAGGAGATGGAAATGGCTCTTCAACATATGAAAAGATGTTCAATCACCTTATTAAACAACAGATGAAATTTAAACCACTTCGAGATCTATGTTTTGCCGTCAGATCAGTAACACAGTAGTTAGTGCAAATGTAGAGATCGAGTTCTCATACTTTGCTGCTGGAAATGTGAACCAGCACACTGTGATGAAGGACAAGTTGGCAATATCTATCAACGTTCCCAATTCACATATCCTTTGCTCCAGCATTTCCACTTCTAAGAATTCATCCTTCAAATAAATTCATGCACATGCTTAATGGCCTAAGTTCTCAGTTAATTATAGTAGCACTGTTTGCAATAGCTAAAGATTGGAAATAATTTAAACTTTGCATCATAGGGGGCTGGCTACATCAGTGATATTACATCTACACAGTGGGATATTGTACAGCTGTAAAACAAAGAAGAAAGTGCTTTATGTACTAATATGGAATGAGCTCCAAAATAAAATGAAAAGTTCAAAAAGAGTGCACACAGCACGCTGCCATACTATCATTTGCGTTAAAAAAAGAAAGAATATGTAAATTTGCTCTTACATGCATAAATTCTGTCTGCAGGAATGCCTAAGAAACTGATGACAATATCTATCACTAGGCTAGAACCTGGATTGCTCAGGGACAAAGAAGGGAAAGAGGACTTTTTATTTTGTGCCTTTTGTACCCTTTGATTCTGAACCATGCAAATGTATTATCAAAAAACGCACAACATATTAAATTTTATGATGTGTGACCTAAGAGTGTATTGCCACACATCATAAAATTTAATGTATTATGCATTTTTAATAGTCTATTAAACAGAAGTTTTATAGTTATTAATTTGTTATGCATGTTTAAGAGTTATACTTCAAGCTGTCCATGCTTATCCTAAACCTGGCTGAAAATAAAGTCTCTTGCTAATCTAAACAGCTATTGGATTAAGGTACCACTGAAGATAAACAATACATTACCTGAAAACTAATGTTCCAAAATAAAAGTTAGATAAGAAAATAAAAAGGCTTTTTTTTTAAAAAAAAAAAAAGCAAAACAAAGTTGTTCCACAAAAGGGATGGTAGGATCAGAGCTTGTTTAAAGCAGTCGAACAAGCATCAACAACAAAAAAGAACTCGTGTGAATGTTTAGCTAAACTGTCTCTAAGAGAATAGACGAAAAGTTTGGCAAGAAGGAAAGGGGATGAGCTAATACATTTTACTTTTTATTAGATATTTCCATATTGTTGGATTACTCTGATTATTTGATATATTAATTTTAGAATTAAAAATTTTTTTTTTTTGAGATGGAGTTTCTCTCTTGTTACCCAGGCTGGAGTGCAATGGCGCGATCTCGGCTCACTGCAACCTCCGCCTCCTGGGTTCAGCCAATTCTCCTGCCTCAGCCTCCCGAGCAGCTAAGACTACAGGCACGCGCCACCATGCCCAGCTAATTTTTTTGTATTTTTAGTAGAGACGGGGTTTCACCATGTTGACCAGGATGGTCTCGATCTCCTGACCTCGTGATCCACCTGCCTCAGCCTCCCAAAGTGCTGGGATGATAGGTGTGAGCCACCGCGCCTGGCCAATTTTATAATTTAAAATATTTAATCAAATTTAAATTATTTAAAAAGCCTGCATTTCCATTGGTAAGCAAATATGCATAGGTGTTTAGGCTAGGAGTTGAAAGGAAAAAACATTATATGCATAAAGATGTTCATTCAACACCGTATTAAACATAAATATATGCATATATAACATATATACAAATATAAGTTAAACAATAAGACAATAGTTCATTAAATAAGATATCCACCAGACAATATTCAATTAAATCACATTTATATATACTACATGGTAACTGGCATAATATCTATGATATAATGTTGTTTATAAATGATATAAAATTTTTGGCTAGGCATGATGGCTCACATCTGTAATCCCAACATTTTGGGAGGTTAAGGTGAGAGGATTGCTTGAAGCCAAGAGTTTGAGACCAGTCTGGGCAATATATTGAGACTTCATCTCCGCAAAAAATAAAAAGTTAGCTAGGCACTTCAGTCCAGAAATTTGAGGCTGCAATGAGCCACGATCATGCCACTGCCCTCCAGCTTGTGAGACAGAGCAAGACCCTGTCTCTTAAAAAAAAAAAGAGTCTGGGCATGGTGGCTCATGCCTATAATCCAAACACTTTGGGAGGCCACTGCGGGTGGATAACCTGAGGTTATGAGTTCAACACCAGCCTGGCCGACATAGTGAAAACTCGTCTCTATTAAAAATACAAAAATTAACTGGGTGACACACACCTGTAATCCCAGCTAATTGGGAGGCTGAGGCATGAGAATCACTTGAATCTGGGAGACAGAGGTTTCAGTGAGCTGAGATCATGCCACTGCACTCCAGCCTGGGTGGCAGAGTGACTCTGTCTCAAAAAAAAAAAAAAAAGTGGTGGTACAGTTATGGTTGATTGGCCTCTTTTCAACACTTTCTATAATTTCAAAACTAATTTTTTCAGATTTTTTTCAAATTTTTCAACTTTAAGGTTTTCCTACTTTTGTTAGAATTTGAGAAGCAAAACAAAGCGAAAGATGCCTTCTTGTTGATGCAATGAAGATAACGAACTGCCCAGCATGGAGTGCAGACATTTAACCAGCCAGAGCCACTTACCTGCACCTCCAGCTGTAGGAGAAGGAGGAGGAGGAGGAGGGGCTGCCTGGCACAGGGAGGTGCCTTTGAAAGGCTGCAGCAGCTTCTCCAGGGCCTGTGCACGGTCTTCAGGCGGTACCTCCCTCTTGGGGCTGCTGAAGAATTCCCTGATATCCTTCCTTTGTCTGGATTCTTGAAGGAAACTCTCAAAGGATTTGTCTTTGAGTCTGAGGGAGGAAAAAAGTGAGATTCTTTTCTTTGGAGGCCTAGAAGCATCTGGGAAGGTCTCTTGCAAACTCACTTTCTCGAGGAGTGTGGGGACATCTTCAATCTTGCTGCACGGTGGGGACGTGAGAGCAGGAAAGATCTTCGATGGCCGATTGGGCAAACTATGGGTGCGAAGGGCAGGGCCAGGAGGGCTAAGGGCTGAGGACTGGTTTCTCCCGGGGGAATGCTGGTCCCTGTCTTTATTGGAATTGGTTTTCCGAAGGCTGAATGAGCGAGTGCTGATGTGTGTGGGCAAAGTTTTGGATTCTGGCTTGGCCCAGGCCCTCTTCCCACCTTCAGAGTTGGGAAGGAGGGGCTCTAGGGACCTCCAGATGGCATTGGCTATAAGCCGGAGTGGGGACCTGGGTGGAGGCATGCTTCGCTCCCCTTTAGCTTGTTCTGCAGGGGTCCCTGTCTCCTCCTGAGCCCCTCTCTGGGTTGGCAGAGGCTCTCTTGTCACCCCAGGGAGCAGCAAGGGGCGAACTGGTTTTAGCACACGGCCTCCTCTACTATTCTCAGTAGTCTTCTGGGAAAGTCGCTCCCCAGCTTTGAGGTGCACTCTCTCAGGGACGGAGTCATTCCAATCCAACAACATGGTCTTCTGCTCCTGAGTGAGGACTAACTTCTTTAGGCCTGGCTTCTCCTTTGCCAGCACTGGCCCTCCCTCCTCCTCCTTCCTGGTTTCAGTACTCCCTTTTTCCTGGTCTTCTCCAGCCAAGGGAGACAGCTCTTGGCCTGGCAAGCACCTGTCCTCCCAGATGGGGTGTGGGTCTCTGTGCTTGCTTCTGATGTCCCCAAGAGGGGCCTCTGCTGGCTGGCACTCAACAGAAATCATCTCTGCAGGGTCTGAGATGCCATCTTCATCAGGGCTCCCCAGGCAGCACTCTGCGCACTCTGGCTCTGGGTGATGAGGCAGATACAGGGGAATTTCCCTGGGTGCCCCTTGGGCTATGGCTCGCCTCCCAAAGGTTGGAGTGGGAGGACTTGGATGACCTCTTGAGACCTGTGAGAGGGGCTCCGAAGCTGTCAGCTAGAGGGGATGGGCAAAAATAGCAGTTACTTCCATTTTCCACCATTTATTTATATGATGAAAGCAAATCTCAATCCACAACCCCCTCCCTTTTATTATTTCCATCTCAGATACCCAAATTCAAAAATAATTTTGCCTAAGATGATTTCAAAGGGATACTCTTTGTTCTAAGTAGCTGCCTTGCATCCCGCCAGGATCCACCTGGAACCCCTGAATCAGCATTGATGAAAGGCTTTTCTGCATCCCAGGTTAGCTAGGATTCAGGAAGCCAGAGGGGAAGACAAAGGTAGGACCCTGCTGTTGACAAGTTCCTGGGCCCATGAGGGCAGGGCTGGCTGGGCCTCTGTGGGCAGCCAGGCACATAGGGGAAGACAAGCTCCTCCTTTTCTTGCTCAGTCATTGTCTTTACTAAAGGGCATGTTCCACCCATGGATACATGCCTCCAATCACCAAGAAACCAAGGCTCTTCCTTGGAGGCCATCTAAGTAAGAAGCAGCAGTCACCATTTGGTGGCTAAAGCTGTGGTCACACAAGGATGGTCCTTAATACCTTCCAACGACCCTTTCTAACCTCCCACCTTGCACCATAGAGAAAGTAGCTGTTTCTAGAATGCAGGAACTTGGCCCTTGGCAAAGAGAGAACGTGAGTGGATTCTAGGGGTGGCTGTGGCCTCCCCAGAGCTCTGGTACCTGAGGGGCAGGTCACAGCACAGGGGCTTCACCAGAGCACACATCTTTTCTGTCTTGTGCACTCTACTTTCAGAGCCTAGAACAGGCCTGACAGGTAACAAAGGCTTGATAAATACATACAGAAGGAGAGTCCAGCCTGCATATCGATGATGACATTTTATATCGAAGGGAGATGTTGCTTCCAAGGTTCTTGGACGCTACCAAAGGGACCCTCCCTTCTGTGTCTGCCATCCTACAGCTGCAAATCCCTCAATGCCCTCTGCAAGTGCTCAAGGGAAAGGTGTCCTGGCAGCTCTGCACCCTACGGAGACCTGGCACGGAGCCTAAACCCTGTAAAGTTTGCGGAGAAAGTAACTGTGTCCTCAGAATGGCTGTGAAGGAGTAGTAAGAGCTTCTGTGAAAGGTACATGTGAAGATGGCTGGCGTAGACCCTTGACAGCGTGTCTTCTGTCCCTGGCTTTGCACTTAGGTTGACCTATGAGCATGTGGAATCCAAAGGTAAGTGTGGAAGGTGGGAAGAGTACGGGTAGCTCACCTTTCTGACACCTGGTCAGGACCCTCAGGGACACTCACCTGAGGCAGGGAGGAACCATTCCCAGAAACACTGGTTGCAGAAGATGATGGGGAAGATGAACGAGAAGACAGTGAAGGAAGAGGAGGAGAAGGAGAAGGGTCCTTTGGAGGTGACATGGTTCTTTTGTTCACTGGCGTCAAACCTATCAGGGAGAAAACACACTCTTCATTACAAAGTGTTATTATTTTATCAAGAAAAGAGGAGACTTTAAGTGAAGCTCCCATTCTATAAACAGAAAGAGGAAGATGTCAGAGCCTGACTCAGAGGTTCCTGGTGCCGAGGCTTAGGACTCAGAGGAATGGGTAGAGCAGTGGCAGGGTCCCATGGGGCAAAGGAAGTCCCAGGGTGGGAAGTCTAAGCACCATTGTGTTTGAGGCTCATGCGAGGACACTCTTGAGACATGTATCAGGGCATCTCCAGAGCATTTCTTAGAAATACGCATCTGCCTCCAAAGAGCGTCCTAAAACCATGGTGGTTGGGCGCTGGGCTGCATTAAATCACTCAGTCAATAAACCACCTGAACTTTCCTCCCACAAGATGTTGGACCCTTCGCTGTGGGAACGGACAGGATAGACATCCACGACTAATGAGATAGACTCTTCCTTCTCACATGTGTGCCAAGAGGCTCTCAGACAGGAAGAGTCGTTTAAGATTTTAAGAGAACACAAGGGCAGGAGGCTACAGTGAGTATCAAATCATTTGAAGGATATGGAGTGGGGCCCATGCCGAGCTCCTGTTGGTCAGGGAACAAACGGGATACAGTGCAGCAGCTCAGAGCCGCAGGTGAAAGGTGCGGGGCTGGGCCCGGAGGACAGGCCTGATTCTGCACTGTCGGGGGCTGAGATCATCTAGTCTGGTGAGAGCAGAATTCTGACAGTCGTACACTGTAAGATCAACCAAGCCCACAGGTGCACTCTCTTCCTCTCCCTCTCTCCTGCTTTTCTGTCTCTCCCCTTCCTCCCCTCAAGCATGGTAACTTAAATCTAAAATCTCAAACATTTTGTCTCCATATTGGATCATTTCAGATCACTTGTCCTCACATCATTTCTGTCAAATGCCATGCACCCTTTCAGATCTGCCCTCTCAGTACCTACCGTCAGCCCAACCAGCTCTCCCCAGAACCATGGTGGCACATAGGGATGTCCCCCAGAAACTTCCCAGGACCACCATGTGGAACGAGCCCACTTGTCTGACTCTGCTTCTGGCCGCTCAGCTGGCCCATTCGAATTTTCCTCCAGGGGGTCTAGCCTTCAGATTTTCACCCGCTTCTTAGTGTAACAGAATCCCCTGGTCTCAGTTTCCCCAAAGCTTTGGGTGGTGAGCTCTTCCTCAGGGACCCACGCAGGCTAGGCCAAACCCATGCCACTGAGTCCCCTCCACACCGGGGGCAAAACTCTTCTCAATATCCTGCCCTGCCTTCCCCTCCACACACCATGCAAACTTGTGTGACCGTGTGTCCGGGCCTCGGGCTCTCAACAGATAGCACCACATGCCCACGCACGCAGGGTCAGCAAGCTCCCAGAGGGAGGTCTCGCAGAATGCTTGCGGGGGGGGGGGGGGGGGGGAGGTAATTCTGGGAACAGATATGATCTGAGGGCGGCAGGAAGGAGCTGCCGGGGAGGCGGCTGGCTGGCCTCCCGCTACCGCACCCCCATCACAGCCCAGGATGAGAAGGTTCCAGCCTAAAAAGGCAAAAGTTGTGAGTCAGTCGCTGTCTTGCTTCCCATCCTCATCCTCAGCTTGCCAAATTCCTTCTTCCCTTCCTCCTTGTACCCTCAGTCTCCTCTCTCTGCTGTCTTCTGAATCAAACCCCTTCACTTGCCTCCTCTCCCCTTGGCTCAACAGACTGCTTTTTGTTCCCCTGAGGATGCCTCAGGGAACCTCCTGACAGGAAGCCAGGACCACCTCAGGAACCAAACCTGAAACACCTCAGGGCTCACGAGGTCATGACCCAGAAGCTGTTCCCTTCTCCTGGCTCTCATCCCCACTCCCACCCCCGCTAGGGGGTCTCTCTCTCTCTACACGTGGTCCTCCCGCACTGCCTTTAAGGTGGAAATCCAGCAGGGTTTGAGGAGATTGGGGAAGCAAAGCCCCAGCTCAAGCCAAGCCCCTGGTCCCTGAGCTGCCATTCAAGCCACTGCTTGGGAGTTGGGCACAGCCTGGGGAGGGAGGTAATGGGAAACCTCCCCTTCCCAACACCCACTGTGTTTGGGTTCTCTCAGAAGATGGTGAAGGGGAGCCTGGAACTCCACCTCCTCACACACACACCAGCTGCCTGGCTCTGAACAAGTTACTCAATCCCTCAGTCTCCTCATCCAAAAAGTGGGCAGTCTGGTGCAGCTTCATGGAGTGGCTGAGTGGGTAAGATGGGCTAAAAAGAGATGCCCAGTTGGCTGGGCGCAGCGGCTCACACCTGTAATCCCAGCACTTTGGGAGGTTGAGGTGGGCAGATGACTTGAGCTCAGGAGTTCAAGACCAGCCTGACCAACATGGCAAAACCCCATTTTTGCCAAAAATATGAAAATTAGCCGGGTGTGGTAGTGCGCGCCTGTGGTCCCAGCTACTTGAGAGGCTGAGGTGGGACAATCACTTGAACCTAGGAGGTGGAGGTTGCAGTGAGCTGAGATCACACCACTGCACCCCAGTCCGGGTGACAGAGTGAGACCCCACCTCAAGGGAAACTAAAAAGAAAAATCAGAGGCACCCAGTGGGGCAGGACACAAAGTAAAAACTAGTTATCAGCAAAATATGAATTCCATTAGCTTCCCATCCTCTCATGCACACAAGCCGTGTTCAGCAAAGATACAACGCCCTGGCCCATTCCAGAGAGGGCTGCACACTCTCCCCAGCCAGGACTTCTCTAACTCTTGGGCTGGGAGCTCCTCATTGGCTAACTCACATCTCCCACTGCTGGCCGTTTCCCTGAAACCTACATATGGCCCACAGGGGCTGCTCTGCCCTCTGCAAGGTCTCAGTCATGCGTGCTGCTGGCTCCTATGGTTGCTTTGCCCAAAGGATGCTCAGGTTCAGCATCCCGGCTGCCTCTGGGTCAGGTGCTGGCATGGACTCCTTTCTGGGCCCTCTGGCAGTAGCAACCTTTCCCCTAGATCCTAGAGGTCATCTGGCAGCATGATCAGCTGGGGAGAGTGCCTAGGGCAGCCGCATAGCCCCTCCGGCCATCCCACTGGGGCTTGGAGCCAGAACCAGCTGAGATGGGGTAGTCATGCCTTTGGACAGGAGGGATGGTACCACGCATTCTGCTTCCAATGGCAAGGCCAGCCCTACCTCCTGGAGTTTCCTTTTGGGCAAAATGAAGACAATCAAAAAGATGGCTCTGGTGGCTTTCAGCTCCGGGGATTTTCGTGAGACTGGATCTCCAGGGCGCCGCTTCCCAGAACTTGGAGGTTTTGCGAGGGTCAAATTCCTATCAAAGTCTTGGAGAGCCCTCTAGGGGCAGCAGCCTGAGCAGGCCTGAGCCCATGTGCGCCCTTCGCACTCAGTCCAGCCAGCGTGCTCCTTGGTTTCTTCCTGCCTTCATTGATTCGGCAAACAAGGACTGGGTTCCTCCTCTGGGCCAGACCGTACTAGACACTAGGCTGATTGAAATGATCAAACTCAAACTCTGCCCTCAAACCAGCTTTCATAGGACCTAGAGAAACACTGTGCAATACTCTTTGATAACTAAAGGCTGAGGTCCCCAGGTCCATCCCAGACACCATAGGGCTGTTCAGCAGTCCTCTTGTTGCTGTGCCTCCCCCAGCAACCCAGCTCTACTGGGGAGCCACGTTCTCCCAGTAGCCTCCCAGCTCTCACCCCAGGCTGGGAGCTCTTGGAGGAGGGACTGAGCCCCCGCACTGGCAGCATGCAGTAGAGTGGGCTGGAAGCCTTGGGATGGACTCTGCGCCCACGCAGTCTGGGCCCGGGGAACAGGGTTCCAAGGACTTGGGGAACACCGGAGCAGGGCAGTAAAGGTGATGACCCATGTGTAGCCATGTTAGCTCCTCTGCCTCTGCTGTCACTGCTGCAGGCTGTCAGAGAATTCAGGAGTTACTCTGGGCTGTCTCCAGATGAAGTGTCCGGCCCAAGAGTGCAGCCCTGGGTCCTGCTCCCAAGGTGTCCGTGTCCCAGCCTGACCCGGTGGGTGGGTGGCGGGTCTGGGGATGGCAGGGGAATGACTCACTGGCTGGGAGTCCTGACTCAGAAGGAAGGAAGACCAGGGCTCCGTTCCAACTGCAGCAATGTTTCTTGGTAGAAACCCCTGTCTAAGCCAAGGCCTTCTTGGGTCCTCCTCTCCTAGGGTGAGGCTAGAAAGGGAGTGAGTTTCAGGGTAGGTGGAAGGCAGCGATGAGCCTGGAATTGGATGAAGAATCTCTGGCCCTCGCTCAGGGCCTGGGGAGGGAATTCTGCTCAGTTGAGTGTTGCAGCCCCTGGATCGCGGGGCCTGGCGATGCGGTGAGCCTGTGTGGTCACTGCGCCCCCTGGTGGGGACTGCTGCCCCGGCACCTGCCGACGCCCAGCTATTCCCCAAAGTGCTGGGACCAAGGCTGGCTCAGAAAAAGGAGCTGGGGTGTGTAGTGTAGAGGGGTGTGTGTGTGTGTGTGTGTGTGTGTGTGTGTGTGTTCACGCCCGCGCGCATATGTGTGTATTGTAGAGGCGTGTGGATGTATGGGTGTGTGCATAGCATCCTGCTTTGCGTGAGGCCGTTAATCTGATGCCCCAGTCTCACCCCAGCATACAGAATCAAATCACAGAGTTTGTGAACCTCAGCTTATTCATCTGTATTTTAAAAACTTAGAGGCAATGATGGCTAAGGCCCTGTCTGGGTGAAACTGTAGAATCCTAAAGCTCCATAATTCCTGAGCCATGGGTGGAGTGGGATGGGAAGTTCTTGAGTCCCTTGGAAAAGGCTCCATCTAGTCAGCAGCAGAAATAAAATCAACGTTATATTTTATTTCTTGCCTCTGACAACCAGGAGGCCATGCCAGAGAGATACCACGTAAGGAATGAGAACAGCTGCCCCTGAGAATTAACCGGAGATCTCTGCCCCGCCCCAGCCTCCCACCCCCAGAGAGCTGGTGACTCACTCGACCGGAATTCTCTCCTCCAGTTCTGGTATTTGCTTGGGGTTGGAGACTGGAAGCTATTGGCACGTTGCAGAGCTGCTGTGGAAAAAGAAAGGGGCAGGGAAGATAGGGCCGGAGCAAGAGTCCATTAAAAGTGTAGAGCAGGTCGGAATTTATCCCCTATGGCTCATCTACCACAGGTTAATAGACTAATGATCATAATTGACTGAACCCTCTACTTCCCTCACACTGTACTCCTATCCTCACGACACACACTACCAAACTTTTCATTTGTCCACACATCAAAGATTTTTTTGTGTGTTTCTGTTTGTTTGTCACCTAGGCTGTAGTGTAGTGGTGAGGGTCACGGCTCACTGCAGCCTCGACCTCTTGGGCTCAAATGATCCTCCCACCTCAGCCTCCCGAGTAACTGGAACTATAGACACATACCACCACAAGCAGCTAATTCATTAATTTTTATTTTTTACAGAGATAGGGTCCTGCTGTATTGCCCAGGCTAGTCTCAAACTCCTGGACTCAAGTGATCCTCACACCTCGACCCTGCAAAGTGCTGGGATTATAGGCATGAGCTACCACGCCTGGCATCAAACATTTATTAAGACCCTGTTATGGGACAGGCACTGCCCTCAGAGAATGCCTCAGATTAGGAACTATCATCACTAAGATCATCAGTAAGCATCCACATGCATACATGTAGTCATATTTACACAGGCATCTGTATAGACACACACGCATATATTCATTCATGTCAGAACAGTGGTTTAAAGCTGAGGCCTCACATCAAGGCTCCATATATGTAATACATAAAAACTGGAGCTGCTCCGATTGAAGCCAGGAAGCTACAGGAAGTTCTACTCTCTGCCTCCCGTTTTCCCACAGAGCCCCCCAAACCCTCTCAAAACCAGGTTTAACTGAGGCTGTGGACCATGATTGCTGTGGCCCTCCCTTGGCCTGGTTCCAAGGGAAACATATTTGTGGGATACTGTACTTCCTGTGGAAGACCCTTCTGCCAGCTGGGCCTTGAGGATTAGCTGAGCAAAAGGAACATCACATGCAGAAGAAAAACAGGTCTTGGGCTCTTAGACCTGTGTGAGAGTGGGCAGTGGGGTCCACATGTTCCCTGTTCTCATGCGAGGCCTGCAGATGCATTCTCAGGCTCCAGACCCTTGCACCTCCATCATAGCTGGAGAGGAATGATGGGGACAGTGAAGGTCTGGGTGTGCACAAAGGCAGGGCCAGGAAGCATGAATGGAAAGGAAGCCCAAGTGCATGATGTGGGGTGGGAGATGGAGGCAGCAATGGTCTGAGTCCACGACTCTAAATCCAAGGCCCAACTAGCCCAGCCCCCGTCCTAGGTATTCCACTCCCTGCCAGATCTCACAGTGGGGCTCCTTCTTAGCAGCCAGGCTGTGGAACACAGGTGTCAACCACTACCTGGGGGCTTACTTTCCTCAAGACCAGATCCTTTATAGCTCCTCTACCTCCCCTACTCCACATGTGAAACTGCCTTTGCAAAATTATAACTGAGAAAATTATGACAGTGAAAGAAATCTGACCTAACTGATCGATCTTGCTTCTAACCTCCAAGCTGCCTTTGTTCATTCCTGGGCGTAGGCCGAACCAACATTGGGAGTAACTCAGTTTATAGTTTAGTTTGGAAATAAAGATGATAACAGCCCTCTCCCCAAACAAACCCCCTTCCTGCCTGGGAATGAGACTGCCTTTGCAGGACTAACAAATTCTCCGCAAGATTAGAAATCGTGGTTTAGGAGTCATGCAGCTGGAGGCTGTAAGATTAGGAACCTTCCCAAATTGCATCCTGGGGCTAACATTGCTATTATAAAGCCTAAGTTCAGAGCTTGAGATATTTTGCAGACCCTGGACTCAAAGGTTCAGCCGGTACCACCCAGACTGATAAACTGGCTCACTTGGTCTTTTAGCCCCACTCAGGAGCTGACTCAGCACAAGAGGACAGCTGGGACTCCCTGTGATTTCATCTCTGACCTGACCAATCAGCATCCTCCATTTTCTGAACCCCTACTCACCAAATTATCTTTAAAAACCCTGATCCCCAAGTTTTCAGGGAGACGGATTTAAGTAATAATAAAACTCTGATCTCCCATACAGTGACTCTATGTAAATTAAACTCTTTTTCTATTGCAATTCCTCCGTCTAGGCAGCAGGCAAGGAGAACCCACTGGGTGGTTATATTTGGAGATGCTTCATGCCTGCTCTGCCTGGCAGGTTCCCAGTGCCACAGGCCTGCTCTCAAAATCAAGTCCATGGGTCTAAGGAGGAGCCTGTGTGGATGGGCACATAGCTACATCCTGCGGGCCAAAGCTAGCCTCTTAATCTCTTAATGAAAACATTTCTCGAAATAATAATTTTGAAAACCCTGCATAAAGCTCTGATTGCTTATTAGCTTGTAACTTGGTGGAATGGAACTTATTGGAAATGGCTAAAATTCATGAGAGATTTTTTCATCACTGGTATTACTAGAGCACACATTTTTACGACAGTGGGAACAGCAGGGTGGGTGGTAATGATTTCCTCTAGTAATGCTGAGCAGCATAGAGCGGGCTGATCCCTTCTTTTTAGCTTATATTCTATATGAGTTTATTTAGGTTAAAGGAGCACTTTCAGAGATCTTAGTGCATGACCCACTGTGAAAGGAGTCAGAGGGTATTTTGCCATGTGGTGCTGATGATATGATTTTACTCTGGTAAGTGTCCTCCTTATGCCATTGGACCATCCTGTTATCAAATTATTGCCAGAAAAAAGATGGATGAATACCAGTTCCTCTACGTCAGGATAATCTCGGGGCAGGTTGTTCTCCTAAATCTAACTGGTGTACAGCCACAAGTCCAATGCACTAGATCAATTCATTTAGCTGCTTGGGCATGGATTTTACGATGAATTCATCTAGGCAGGCCTTCCACAAAGCTGCATTTCTGATTCCCAAAGTGTAGAACGTGGCCCACTGTGTCAAAGCGCCTGGGGATGCTTGCACAAAGTGCACGTACTTGGCCCCACTCCACACGTACTGCATCTGAATCTCTGAGGGTGAGAACCTGGGAATCTGCCTCTTAAACAAGATTGTCAGGAACCACTGACACCGATGTTTTGAGGCCTTCTGCAGCCTCCGCAACATAGAGCGTGAGCTGTGCTTCAGGCATCCTCTTGGGCATGCTCTATGAACTCTGAGGATGTGATAGGTTCCTTCATATGCCAAGGTAGTCCCAGAAGTCTTTTTAAAAATTGTGGCAAAATATGCATAATATAAAAATTGTTACTTGTCCATTTTTAAGTCTAGACTTCAGTGACATTAAGTACACTTGCCCTGGTGTGCAGCCGCCACCACCTCCCCACCTCCTATCTTCAGAACTCTCTCCTCATCTCAATGGAGGCTTGTTTTTTTTAGGACTGGCTTATTTCCCTCAGCATCATGCTTTGAAGGTTCACCTAAGTTGTAGCGTGTGTCAGAGTCCCTTCCTTTTACAGTCTGAATAACATTTTGCTGTATGGATATACTGTGTTTTGTGTATTCGTTTGTCTGTTGAACATTGATTTGCTTCCCCGTTTTGGCTAACGTGAATAATGCTCCTACAAGCATGCTGGACCAACCTGGAGTGTTTTTTATTTAACTCCACACTGAAACCAGAAGTCTTTTCAAAGCAATATACTGGTCTTGTCTGGCATTCCCTTGGTTTACCTTGGAGGCCTTTATCCAGGTGAGACTTGAGGTTAATGAAGTTCCATTAAACCCACTCAAGGGGTCAACCCTGCATTAGCAGGTAAAGTGATGGGGTTACCATAACGAGCAACACAAACACAGCACTTAGACCTGGGCCAGAGAGCTCAGCCATCCCGTGTGGTCCACTTAGCAATGATCAAGACAACGACTGATGAAGACTAACTTGACAAAGAATTGTTTGAGAGCCACACAGGTCTACCCACTTCTCTATCTACTGTGTTTATTCTGGAGTTAAACTGGGCTGTCAGAAACAAAATGCTTTGGCCTCACTACCCAACCCAACCCAACTAGTCTCTCAACCCAACCCCATCCTGCTAAGAAAACTGCGATTGCTGAGTCATGTTTTGTTGTCATTCCCTCACCTTCCAGCAAGGGATGCTGTAAGGAACAGCCTGGAGAAAACTAGGGCTGCATTTTCTGAGAAACTGTGAAGACACGATCTAACCCATTTCTCAACATCATCTATTCAGCACGAGCCAGAAACTCTCTATAGAGTTAAGCATTAGGAGAAATTGTGCCTGCTCAGAGACCTGCTGCAAACCAATACGTTTTTCTCATGAACGATGAGAATAATGATGTTCTGCATTTCCTTTTTAACACTGGAAGCCAGAAAACTCAGAATCAAACTTATGATTCAACTGCAGCAACTGTTTAGGATGATGGTCTGCCTCTCTGAGGTCTATTCCTCCCAAACTGGTTTTGTTAGCCCTGATTTTGAGGTTTAATCTTTCATGTTTATAGATGTACAATTTTGTTTTATGTTTTCTGTTGCCTAAAACCCTCTGGCAATTGAATGAGAAATGGAGAGAAGGGATGAAAGGCAGCCTGATTTCGTATCTGGAAATGGGGAGCTGGAGCCCAGGGGGATGGAAGAGTACACCAAAACCACGTGGTAACTGGAGGCAGGGCTGGACCCAGCTGGGCACAGGAGAGTACTTGGTTCAGTGCCAGTGCTGAGACTTTCTGCACAGCCCTGCAAATGGTACTCAACAAATGTGTTTGGATAACAATCTGTCCTTCTTTTTAAAGTCTCACTTTAAAAAGAAATATGAGGGTAAAATTCAACGTTTCCAGGATTTAAAAATACCTATTGAGTTCTTTCTGCCCTAGTCCTGGTCTTCCTGGGAAACCATTGCTTGGGAACATTTCATGGACCAGGTGGCAATTCTGCTCTTGGCCACCAGATGGCGGTGGAGGACAAGTTGAGCTCCAGCTCTCCCAGGGCAGCTAAGGCTGTGAGGCCACTGGGCGGCAAGTTACCGTCAGGTTACCCTGCTTCTTCCCAGGCTCGCCCAGAAGTTGCCCATAAGTCAGATTTGGTCCCAAGTTGTGGACTGAATCAAAACACCCAATTCCAGGTCACCTTTGTATTAAGCACAAGCTGGGCTGCTAAGTAGGCCAGAGCTTGGGTGGTGGTAGCTGGGGGTTTCACCATCCCTGGCTGAGACTTTGAGAGAGCACTCAGCCTGTTTGCTCACCTGTGGAACAGGCTTCACACTACTTACCCCACAGGGTCATCCTGGGATGGGATGGGATGGGGCCACATATGGGAAAAGCCCTGGCCCATTACAGGTACGCAGTTCATGTGCATTAATTGTTGTGTAGAATCATTTGGGTCCATCCCACAAGCCCCAAACACCGGAAATGGCCCTGGTACTGTCAGGTGGTCCCAGGGAGATGATGCTGTCCAGGGTCACATGCTCCCGACAGCAACCAGACCCAGCTCCCTTCCCTCAGGGGCTGTGGGTGCTGGAGGGGCCCCTAAGGAGATGCCCTCACAGGAGGCAGGACAGAGAGCGCTCCGGGCAAGAGGAACCTGTGGGCCCCTTATCCCTGCCAGCCTGCGACATACCACAGCCGGCCAGGCCCCGTGACATCCTCCCCGCCAATGCTTTCATGGAGCGGGAAGCCAGGCCTGGGTCCAGTTCCCTCACTGTCACTTGCCTCACTCTCCCAAAAGGTCCTAGCCCCACTGCCTTTGAGCCTGAGGGCGAGGCCTTCTGTCACCTGGTCCTCCATGACGGAAATTCGTTTGTAAGGGTCTCTGCTCCCTCCCTGGGTCCCAGAATCAAGCCCTGCGGGCTCTCTGCTCACCATGCACAGCTTTGGGCTCCTCAGGGCACTGTGGAGAGACCACTCTGCTCAGGGCCTTCCTCAGGGAGGCATGCGGTAGAGACAAAGGTGCTGACCGGGGTTTCTCTTCACAGGGCTCTGGGCGGGAGGGCTCGCAGCCACCATAGTCAGACTCTGTGTCAGAGCTGGAAGGAGGAAGGAGCGGTGAGTCAGGGGCCCTGGAACCCACCCTAACACACCCACACTACCCAGCACTCCTCCAGTGCACCTGGGGGGCCCGGGCTTAGTCCTGCGTGCCCGGAGCCCAGCTTTGGACTTAGCTGTGGGTTGAATTGTTTCCCGAAACCTCATATGCTGAAGTCCTAACTCCAAGTACCTTCAGACGTGACTGCATCTAGAGAGAAGGCCTTGAAGGAGGGCATTAAGGTGCAATGAGGTCATTAGGTGGGCCCTTGTCCAGCAGGCCTGTTATCTTTATAAGAGGAGGAAATGTGGACACAGACACGCACAGAAGGAAAACACTATGCGAACAGGAAGACGTCATCGACAAGCTCAGAAGGGAGGCTGGAACCCACCTTCCCTCCAGTCCCACCGTAGGAACCAGCCCTGCCCACACCTTGACGTTGGACTTCCAGCCTCCCAATCAGTGAGAAAATACATTTCTGTTGTTTAAACAGCCTGATCTGTACAGCTTTGTTATGTCAGCCAGAGCTGAACAACACAGGCTTGACTCAGAGAAGAAGAAAGGGGCCCAGCAGTGCATGAGGAGCTGTTTGAATGAAGACTGCTCTGCTCACCTGCACCTGTCCCAGAGCATGAGCCCTAAGGTCTCTCTGGCCAGGTAACCTCATCATTAGGGACTTGGTCCTGAAACTTTAGGCATTTAAATACTGCTCTCTTCCCCATAGAATGATGAAAGAATGGAAAATTCTACCTGAGTGCGGATAGGGGGTGGATGGTATTTAACATGGGCCTTAAATAACTGGTAGGGATTCAATTATCTACAGGAAGATATTCTTATTTTGAAAGCAACTCTTCAGAGCCTAGGGCTTTAATAGCCTCTAAAATCACCGTCTCCAGCCCTGACCCCCAGAACTTCACACTTACGTATTTGACTGCTTACCTGACATCCACACAGACACTGGCATCTCAAACCCAATGTGTCCCAAACAGAACTCTTGATTTTCTCCACTAACCTGCACCTTCTCTGAAATCTTCCCCACCTCAAGATAACCTTACAAATGACCATACCAGACATTCAGTCACTCTAGAAAAATTCTGGGAATTGCCCTGAAATTCTCTTTCCCTCTCATGCAGTCCACTAGCAAATCCATCTCCACTGGCCCCACCCCTGTCCCCAAGCTGCAGACTCCCACCTGCTCTACCTGTGTTCATCCTCACACAACCCTGCCTCATCCATTTCCCAAAGCCGGGCCTGCTGATCTGTGAAAACTGTCAATGAGATGTCACTCTTCTACTTAAAAATCCTTGGAATTACAGTCATGTCTTTCACAACGACGTTTTAGTCAGCGATATAACCCATATATGATGGTGGCGCCGTAAGATTACAATGGAGTGGAAGAGTTCCTATCACCGATCGACGCCGCAGCCCTCGTTAACATCGTAGGGAAAGGCGTCACTCACGTGTCACAGCGATGCTGCTGTAAAACCTATAGCACTGCTGCCACTTAAAAAGTAAAGAATAGATACATACATTTAAAAATAGAAAAAAGCTTGTAGAATAAGGATATAAAGAAAGAAAATGTCTTTCCAGCTATTCAATGTGTGGTTTTTTTTGCTGTGTTATTACAATAGAGTTAAAAAGTTTAGAAAGTAGCAAAGTTATAGTAAGCCGATTTATTATTGAAGAAGGAAAACTATTTTTCAAAAAAGTGCAGGGTAGCCTAAGTGCACAGTGGGATAAAGTGTACAGCAGGGTACAGCGATTCACATTCACTCACCACTCACTCACCCACCCAGAGCAAATTCCAGTCCTGTGAGCTCTATTCATAGTAAGTGCCCTATACAGGTGTGCCCTGTTTTATATATTATATTGTGTTTTTACTATACCTTTTCTATGTTTAGATACGTTTAGATTCACAAATACTTACCATTGTGTTGCAATTGCTGATAGTATTCAGTACAGTAATGCACGGTACAGGTTTGTAGTCTGGGAGCAATAGGTTACACCATATAGCCTAGGTGTGGAGTGAGCTATCCCATCTGTGTTTGCATAAGTACCCTCTATCATGTTCACATAATGCCAGAATCACCTCATAACACATGTCTTAGAACACATCTCGACTCTCAGGCAATGAATGACTGAATACCTAGAATACAATTTACCCTGTCTTACAAGCTTCCTAGTGTAGTCTCTTATCCTTCTCCCCCTCAGGGTGTACCTGCCATACAGACCTTCTCTTACCTCTGAGACAGGCTCACTCTCACCCCGGGGCCTGTCATTCGCTGTTGTCACTTCCTGCATTCCCCTTCTCCCTTGGCTGTCCCTTCTTGTCAACCAATTCTCAGCTTAAATGTCACCTCCTGTTGGGCACTGTGGCTCACACCTGTAAACCCAGTACTTTGGGAGGCTGAGATGAGTGGATCATGAGGTCAGAAGTTCAACACCAGCCTGGCCAAGACGGTGAAACCCTGTCTCTACTAAAAATACAAAAATTAGCCAGCCTCCTCTACTTGGGAGGCTGAGGCAGGGAATTGCTTGAACCCAGGAGGCAGAGGTTGCAGCGAGCTGAGATCATGCCACTGCACTCCAGCCTGGGTGGCAGAGTGAGACTCTGTCTCAAAAAAAAGTCACTTCCTCTGGGAGACTGTGGGAATTTGTCTGCAAAGATGGTTGCAATCATTCCCCTTAGATCCACACCCCTTTGCAATGGGGGCCTTGCAGCTCTTTCCCTAAAGAGTGCAGGCTATTTCCCACCTTTTGAATCTGTTCAGGCTTTGTGGCATGCTGTAGCCAATCAGACGCAACAGGAATAGCACTGTGCATTGCCAAGCCTGGGCCTCAGGAGATCTTGGATGACTCCCCTCTTTCTCCTAAGGCCATGGGAACAAGCCTGGGCTGCCGGTTGGAGGATGAAAGACCCACGGCCCAATAGCACTCTGTCGCCCCAGCTGACGGTCAGGCTCCAAAGCAGAACCCTGCTGGCCCAAACACACAGGTGAGCCCACGAAGGCCAGAACTGCCCAGTGGCTTACTTGGTCAGGCTTGGCTTACTCTGGTCTGCTTTGTTACACAATCGTGATGTAATGAATGGTGGCTGGTTTAAGTCACTCACTTTGGGGCTGGTTTGTCACTCAGCATTATTGCAGGCATCAATAACTGCTGCAGAGGCCTTTTCCTGCCACTCAGTCTAAGGCAGCTGACCAGCCACTCCATAGCATGTGTCCGTTTTATCTCTCGACCTGACACATATGCGATGCTTTTCCTGTTAAACTACTCGCTTTCTTCCTCGCTGGCTCCCAATGTAACAAAAGCCATGGGAAAGCAAGGAGCTTGTCTTGTGCTGTTCACTTCTGTATCCTCAGAGTCTAGTATGTAATAAGCAATCACTACCTGCTGTTGATGTACCGCTTGAGTGAATTCAGTGCATCTGGGGGAGTCCTGAAGTCTGCATGCCTAATAACCACTCCAGGTGATTCTGATGCAGGAGATGAGGACAGCGCTCGGAGAAATAGTCACCTACAACACCAGGGCTTCACTCCTCATGTCCCTCACCCTGCGTCCTAGCCTTCCCAGCCCCATGCATCACCATCTTGCGGTGGACAGGCCTGAGGGGCAGGTGACACCATTCTGTACCCCTCACTGCAGACAGCATGACAAGTGCCTCCTGAGAAGAATGTGGGTCCAGGCTCTTTCCCTTCCTGAGAAAATGATACCTGCTAACACTTACAGTGCTTATGATGTGTGGGAACTGTTCTATACCCTTAATATATGTGAATTCTGTGAATCTTACAACTCCCTCTGAGATGGGTACTATGATTGTCCCCATTTTACAGATGAGGAAATGGAGGCACAGAGAGGCCATATTGTGAGTAAAGAGAATTAAATCCCAAATGTGATTCCCTTCCTCCAACCCCAGTTCTGTCCCCATCTGGCAGCAGCCTGAGCATACCTGCTATCCTCGCTGGTGACCAGGACACGCACAGCCAGCACATCCTGTCCAGCTGCATCCTCCCCAGGGCTGATCCTCACCGAGGTCCACTCAGAGGGCAGGGGAGAGGCGGCGTCTCCTTCCGCATCACTGTACTGTGGCTCAGAGATGCTCTTCGGCTTCTTGGGGGAGGTGGGCTCATCTACTGAGAGGAGAGCAGGGTCTAGAGAGACGGTGCGAATGAATGGCCTGGCAGGACTCCTCCAGGGGCTCAGGGCCCCTACAGGCCTGGGGTCGATTTGGACCCTCCAAAGCTGGCCCTGTCTTCCTCTGTGCCACTTCTGGGACCCTCCCGCTTGAGCCCACCAGAAGCCCAGGCATTCAGAGCATGCCTCGTACATGCAAGGCACAAATGCACAGATCATCTGACTTAATCCACAGGGAAGGTCCTGAAGCTCTCAGAGGGCCCATTCTGGGCTAACCAGCCTCTGAACTGCTGCTGTCAAGATGGCAACATCCAACATGTTGCTAAATCCAGTGGTAACATCACAGTTCTCATCTTATTTGACTATGTGACACAGTGGCAGCATTTGACCCAGCTGGTCACTCCCTGTGAGAAACAGCTCTCAGCCTCTAGGATGGCATGGCCTGCCCAGCCCCCCAGCCCCTACTTCACTGGCTAGCTCCTTCAATTCCTCTGCTGGTTCCATCCTCTCCCCTTGACCTTGTAACACTGAGAGATTCTCGGGCTCAGTCTCTGAACCGTTTTTCTTCTCTGTCTGCACTCATGCTCCTGATACTTCCATCTGGTCTCATGGCTTTAAATAACCCTAGACAACACTGACTCCCAGATCTCTATCTCCAACCTGGACACTCCCGACTCTGGACTTATAGAGACCACTGCTTACTTGCCTCTCCATCCGGGTGTCTAACAGACATGTCAAACTCAACATGTCCAAAGGGAGTTCTTCATCTTCTCCCCTCACCCAGCATGTCCTGCCCACAGCCTTCCCCCTTTCAGTAAATGGCAACTTTGGCTTCTTGTGACTGCAGCCAACACCTCAGCAGCACCTTAGACTGCTCTTGTTCTTTCATTCTTCATTCAAGCCATTGGCCAACCCTGATAGGTCTGCCCTCAAAACATGTCAGGAATCCAGACCCCTCTCACCACGTTCTCTGCCTCCCACCCCTTGTCCGGGCGCCATTGTCTGTTGCTTGGATAGTAGAAATGGCCTCTGCCCAGGCTCCATCCCTGCCCTCTTGCTGTGCCACACCCCTCAGTCTATTCTCAACACAGCAGCCTGGGTGACCCTGCTAACACCTGAGTGAGATCATGCCGCCCCTCTGCTCAAAATCCCCCAACGGCCCCTCATTCACTCAGAGTGGAAGCTGAAGCCCTTACTGAGGCCTGCAAGGTCCAACATAATGTAGTCCCTAGTGCATCCTGTGACCTTGTCCCCTAGCACTGGCCCCAGGCTGGCCCTGCCCTACCCATGGCACCTCCTTGATGCTCCTCCCACACTCTGGTCACACGCCCTTCTTGGACCCGTTGTGCGGCTCTTGCTTCTGCCGGGAAGGTGTTATTCCCAGACGTTCCCCTGCAGGCCTCACTCACTCAGTGGCTGTTTTCAAATCCTTGGTTGAACGTTACCTGCCCTGACCATCCTATTTAAAATTGCAGCCCACGCCCTCAGTGCTCTCCACTCCCCATGATTTTTATTCATAGTATGTCTCAGCCTCTGATGAACTATATAATTTTCTTTTTCATTTTGTTTATTGTCCCTTCTATGACTAGAATGTAAGCAGTGATTTTTGTCTGTTTCATTTGTTGCTAGATTGGTCCCTGGTGAAGGGTAGGCGTTCAGTGACTGTCTGCTGAATGAGTTCATGAATGAATACACCTAGCTCTGTCTTGGCCACTAACTAGCTGGGTGACCTCATCTCCCGGGACAGTGTCCAGAGAACAGATGTCACTTTTCCTTCCTAAGGTGGAGCCTTCACCTGGACTTGGCTCCCTCTCACTTCCCTCCACCCTCTCTGCAGCATCATTCTTGTGTTCTCTTTTGTCTACTGAACCTTTCCTGTCTGTATTTAAATATGCTGAAAGCCTCCTGTTTTATAAAAACTCCTTTTAATCCCATTCCTCACTCTCAGCCCCAGCCTACTTTCTTCTTCCTTCCCAGCCAGGCTTCCCGGAAGGCTTGGCTACACTCTTCTCTCTCTCCTCTTCTTTATCAACCCCCAATTCCTATAATCATGGCTGTGCCTCTGCTGCTCCCAAACTGCCCCCAGCACAGTCCACATGGCCCCGTTGTTGCTAAGTCCAATTCACAGGACGTTGGGGGTCCTCCTGCAGTCTTTGAGCCTGCCCCCTCCCTGCTCCCAGGGACACTTTCTCTTTGCCATCCAGGATTCCAGCCAATCCTTCAACAACTGGGTTCTCCATGCATCCACCTGAGCCTTCTCATTTTGTACCCATGAATTCTCTCTGGGAAACAGAATCTCTTCCCTAACTGTATTTACCACCTGTGAAGATGAACAAGACATTTTGATTTTTATGTGAAATACCTTGTCTTAAAATATCATATAGATCAAAACAAAACATGTCTGCAGCAGACTGAGCAAATGGGTTGCTAGTTTGTAGCCCCTGGTCCTTGTAGATGCTTGCTGTGTACACCTGTCTGCACTTCTAAATTAGTGTAACTGGGGATGGAAGGCATGTGAGGAATATAATCGGATGCTTTGCTACAAAATAATAATGACATGGCAATGGTGGTGGTGTGTCAGCATTAGTCATAATAAAAGCAGTAGCAGCTTACTTCTATTGTGTGTGCAATACATACCAAGAATTGTTAGAGCATTTGATATGTATTAAGTCTATTAAATCTCACACGATCCTCTCAGAAAAGCATTGTTATTACCCCCATTTTCCTGCTGAGAAAACTCAAGCACAGGAAGAGATCCAAGATGGCCGAATAGGAACAGCTCTGGGTTGCAGTTCCCAGTGAAAACACAGAGGGTAAGTAATCACCGCATTTCCAAACAAATTTTTACTGCCCATAGACCAGGAGATTCCCAGGTGGAAAAGTGCCATGAGTTGCCAGTGTGGAAACATCCAGTGCAGCGGGTCTCCAGACAAAAACTCATACAAATCCAGGCGTCGTTTCAACTGGCAACTGGAACACCTGGGAGACAGTCGCCCGTTCAACTGAAAAAGAGGGGACTGAAACAGGGAGCCAGGTGATCTCGCTCGGCCAGTCCCACCCACACAAAGACCAGGAATCTGAAACACTCTGGATTGAGAGTTTCACAGCAAGCACAGCTGGACCTGGGTCGGTCCAGCTCTGTAGAGAAAAGGTCATCTTACATTACTGAGGCAGTCACCACTACCGAGGCAGTTCGCCATTACTGAGGCAGACCACCATAAAAACCCTAGAAGAAAATCAAGGCAATACCATTCAGGACATAGGCATAGGCAAGGACTTCATGACTAAAACAGCAAAAGCACTGGCAACAAAAGCCAAAATAGACAAATGGGATCTAATCAAACTCCACAGCTTCTACACGGCAAAAGAAACAGTTATTAGAGTGAATCGGCAACCAACAGAATGGGAAAAAATTTTTGCATTTTCTACCCATCTGACAAAGGGCTAATATCCAGAATCTAAAAAGAACTAAAACAGATTTACAAGAAAAAAACAAACCCCATTCAAAAGTGGGCGAAGGATACGAACAGACACTTTACAAAAGAAGACATACATGAGGCCAACAAACATATGAAAAATGCTCATCATCACTGATCATTAGAGAAATGCAAATCAAAACCCATTGAGATACCATCTCACGCCAGTTAGAATGGCAATCATTAAAAAATCTGGAGACAACAGATGCTGGAGAGGATGTGGAGAAATAGGAACACTTTTACACTGTTGATGGGAGTGTAAATTAGTTCAACCATTGTGGAAGACAGTGTGGCGATTCCTCAAGGATCTAGAAATGGAAATTCTATTTGACTCAGCAATTCCATCACTGGGTATATCCAAAGGATTATAAATCATTCTATTATAAAGACACATGCATTCGAATGTTCATTGCAGCACTGTTTACAATAGCAAAGACTTGGAACCAACCCAAATGCCCATTGATGATAGACTGGACAGGGAAAATGTGGCACATATACACTATGGAATACTATGCAGCCATAAAAAATGATGAGTTTGGGTCCTTTGTAGGGACATGGATGAATCTGGAAACCAACATTCTCAGCAAACTGACACAAGAACAGAAAATCAAACACCACATGTTCTTACTTATAGGTGGGTGTTGAACAATGAGAACACATGGACACAGGGAGGGGAGCATCACACACTGAGGTCTGTTGGGGGGGACTAGGGAAGGGACAGCGGGGGGTGGGGAGTTTGGGAGGGATAACATGGGGAGAAATGCCAGATACAGGTGATGGGGATGAAGGCAGCAAACCACATTGCCATGAATGTACCTATGCAACAATCCTGCATGCTCTTCACAAGTACCCCAATTATATATATATATATGTATATGTCTGTTCGTATATAATGTATATATATAAAAATATATATATACACACACATTAAAAAAAGAAAGAAAAAGAAAACTCAAGCACAAAGAGGTTAAAACACCAGCACATATTCTGTCAGAGGACGGGGGTCAGTCTGAGTGTCTGTGAATACATAACCATGCATGGACACTGTTTTGCGTGACCTTCGTGCTGCGAGTTTTGGCTGGAAAGCGCTCCCAGTTCTTCCCTCTAACAGAATTGTACTTTGTCCTGTGACTTTCCAGTCCTTCCCACTGGAATTGGTGGGGTGTATAGGCCTGCCCCATGGATGAGAGGCTTGGCAGCAAAGCTTGCTTTGACCTGTGGCAACTTATGGTTGGGACATGAGCAGAGGCTTTAAGTGGGTTTGCTGGTTGGCTGCCATTCATGCTCCTGCTAGGTTACCATGAAAAGAGCTTGTCCCAGATGGCCACCACCCTTTCAGTCAGGGTCCCTGATGGAGGATGCATGGAACAGACCTGGAGCTAACCTATAGTCTGGAGTCCAACCCAGCCAATCCCAGGGGAGCCTCCCTTACCCTTATACCTACAGCTTGAAGCCAAGATACTCAGTCAACCCACAGGCTCCTGAGCAAGAAAATAGGTGCCATCTATGCCAGTGAGACT